CTTATACAACTTTAGGAAGATTAGACCCTTCCAATCAGAGCAGGCCACACAACTCCTTGTCCAAGCTCTTGTTCTCTCCAGACTGAACTATTGTTATGCTCCCTTGGCGGGTCTTACGGCACGTACTATCCAGCCTCTTCAACTGATCCAGAACGCCGCAGCGAGAGTGGTCTTCAAAGAGCCAAAGAAAGCCCATGTCAAACCTCTTTTCATAATTTTGCACTGGCTACCAATAGCTGTTCGCATCAAATTCAAGGTACTGATGCTTGCCTACAAGGCAACCACTAGCGCTGCTAGTTCAGACCTACGTGCCCTCCAGAAGCTTGCGTTCTGCAAGTAAACGTCGCCTCGTGGTGCCATCCCAAAGAGGCACAAAATCACTCTCACTGACCTTTTCCTGGACTGTCCCCAGCTGATGGAACGACCTGCCTATCTCAATCCGAGCAGCTTTAGCCATTTTCAAAAAACATCTAAAGACACATCTTTTTCGCCATCACCTGACCAATTAATACTAGCACTTACCTATTCTATTCGGTTTGGTCTAATTTATTTATATATAAAAAAACTTGCTATGTGCACTGTGCTAGACTAACTGAGACTTGTCACAGCACTTGTATATTGTTGCTCTCTCGTTGCTCTGATTGGTTCTACTTTGTAAGTCGCTTTGGATAAAAACGTCTGCTAAATGACTAAATGTAAATGTAAATATATGTATACATACACATATATACATACACAATATTATATGAATATAAAATATGTCAATTTTGTGTATGTGTTATGTTGTATATATGTGTATATATATGTGTGTATATATATATATATATATATAACCTATCAATTGTTTTATTTAGTATCTTTTGAAGTTCACACGCACACACATAATGTAAATTACACTAAATAAAAGAGTCTACTTATCACTCAAAATTCAACAAAATACAATATTATATCAATAATATACAATATAAAAATATGAATAACTGTATGTGTAAGGCAACTGTTTTAATACATATATATATTACACATACAGTTATAAATTTTTTATATCGTATACATATATGTATATGTAATAAAATAATACAATTGAATATAATACACAAATTTTTATTTTGAATGGTGATGATTTATTAAATTTTTTTAGTATACATTACCATTTGGCTTAAGTGTCCAAATATTTTTGAGGCTACTTGTGTGTAAATGAGAGTTTTGTCTGTAAAAGGGCATTTTTTTCAAGTAAATGCAGAATCTTCTTTGTATTTCGCTGTACACTGTTCCACTTGAGTGACAGAAAATGAAAGCAGAGAAAGACCAGCCTCTCCTCAATCTAGCAATGACCCATACTATCAGAATGTGTTTCTATGACGATTACACCCCCAGAATTGCATTTGCATGAGGATCAACATGGCAGAAAAAGAAAAGGGAGGGAGAGAAAGCAGTGAAAAATGAGAGAGAAGAAAGAAAGAATGTTAGAGAGAGCTGGTGAGAAATCGAGCTGGTTTTGGTTCAACAAAAATTTGAGACAGGATCGCCTGGGGACATTACTGTGTCCTTTTTCACAGTGTCAGAGACTCAGAGCCACCTCAGGGCACTGAGGATTTTTATTTTTAGTGCGTGTAGAACATGTTGTGAACTCTCCCTTGTTTTTGATACTTGTGTATATGCTGTTGTCATGGCAGCGGGCGGGAATTAGATTAGGAAAAAGGCTGTAATAAGCTCAGATTTGGCCAAAACTAAGCAAAGTGCTCTTGAGCATTGAAGTAGAAACAAGTTTCACATACTGAGCTTCACAGACAATACAACTACAGTCTCACGTGATTATGAAGGTCTGTATGTTCCCGGATCTGATTTCATAGGCATCTGTGGTGCATTGAAAAGGCACTTATGTCGCTCTGTGTATATGAGAGGATGAAGTGCTCCCTATTATTCATTATAATACAGATTCACACAAAGAGACCAACCAGAGGCCCTGGAGGTACTGAAAACACGGATTGGAAAAGATGAAAATAAAATAAAATAGGTTAATGTTACATTACAAATAAATAAAAAGAATGGCTGACTTGCACTGCTAAATGACAAAATTGTCTCAGTGGTGTGTCTGCTCCCTATTTGCTGGCGGTCTCAAGTGAACTTGTTCTCTATTAGTGCGTTGGAGGAAGGGGTCTTTGCTCTGGGGCTGAAACAAACCTCATCGTCAAAAACTCATAAAAGGAAACCACAATAAAGAACCTGTGATTCATTTATAAGAGAATCTTGGAGTGTCAGTTTGACATAGCCCATTCATCAAAATAGCCAATTTTTTTCAAACCTCAGATTTTGGCTTTTTAAATTAGGAAACAGGGTGGAACTGATATTTAATTTTAGAACAAATTCTTGTGGGAACTTTATATTAAGGCTGGAATACACTGCACGGTTTTTCCCCCGATTTTCCACCAATTTACTGTCTTGAGAAGTTGACGTTAAGATTTTAAAAATTGTGTAGTGTATTCCAGACTTTATATCAACTGAAAAGCTAGAAGTTTTCACACTGCGCTTAACCCTGGGTTATCATCGTTCTAAGTTCAACATTTAACCACGGGTAAAGGTACGTTTCACCCTTGCTCGTCCAATCAATGACACGGACAAATATGCTAATAAGAACGTTAACCCAGGGTTTGGGAGTGTACAGTATGAAACGTCAACTTATGAATACCCAGGATAAATTATTAACCCCATGTAAATTATGAGCAGTGTGAAATGTGAAGCAAGATCACCAAGGATTTCTACCCGAGGTTAGAATGACCGAGGGTTACTATTTCAAGCCCTTTATTGTAGTAAAAACAACTAAGGAAGCAATTTATGAAAATTTTTCCTGACAATATATGCATAGGTTATTAGGCTATAAGCCAGGATTATAATGCAATATAGTTTAGGAGAGAGTGATAGACATGTCTAACTGTCTAATATGAGTCTTAGTTGATACCTAACACCTCAGAAAGTGATGCAATTGATTTTAAATTCATATTTGTCAGGGAAATAACAGAAAGATGTGTAGTATTTTGGTTCACCCTTATGACAGGCTTGCCAGCTTCTGTAAAACATTGTCAGTATGCAGGTCTAAAGTGATGCAGACCTTTATGGGGCAGGTATCAAAAGCCATGCGCAATTCCAAGCAAAGCAAGAGATAGTAAGCGCAAGACGGCATCTGGCCAGGGAAAACAACGAAGGCTAGGACCACACAGGGACAAGGACTTTAGTGTTAAAAAGGTTTATTTCAACAACTGTCAGATTTTTTCTCTTTGTAGTTTATATTCCCAAAAAAGTACAAAATAAAACAAGTACATCAAAGGATTAGAAATCACATCAAAACAAAGACACATTGTGTTTTTTTCTTTATATCAATCCAAGCATTTTTTCCATATATTTATACATACTCACTGAATTAGTCAGACAAACATCAAAACCTCTCAGTAGCTTTTTCTTTTATGACAACGTTTTATATTTTAAACCCCGAATATGTTTGACTTTTTTCTTCTTTTTTACAATATACACCAACGCATGCCGTAATTCAGTTAGGCAGGGGTAGGTGTGTGTATATCTAAGGGCTGGGTCAGGGGCGGGTCGACTACAGGGCAAAAAGACTGCAACAAGGGGCGGGGCAGGAGGCGGAGACTGAGTGGGTACGAGGGGCGGGGTTTTTAAAGTTTTCTGTCATGTGGTGATGGTGTGGTGGGTGTGGCTGCTCGTAGCGTCTGCTGCTCGATGCTTTAAGTGATCGTGGACGTGGTTGCGTAGGGTGCTTTTGTTTCTGTTCTACATCATGTTGTTCTGAAGCGAGTTTACCTCCGAAGAGTTCTCCTCGCCCAGCACCTTATGGTTCTCGTGCTTAGGGGTGAGCGAGTTCTGGATGTTCAGTGACTCGTCCTCTTTGGGTGGGGGCGCCTTCACGGGGTCCTCCAGCTTGTTCTGGGTATTAGGATCATCCTGGGAAAAGACAGTCCAATGTTAGACCTCTGCAACAACCTCAAATTGTTTATTACTTCTCCCACTTTAATAAATTTTTTTTTAAATTAGATAATGGGCAATTGTAAAGCTGTTAAATTATTAAATAAAAAATAAAATAAACAAATAAATAAAAATAAATAAATCATGCTCATAATGTACTACTTTATAAAAAAAAATGAAATAAAAATAAATAAATCCATTAAAGTATTAAAGGAGATGTTATGAGCATTCTTTATTTATTTACTTACTATCATTTGCAAATTATCCAATAAATGTTTAAGTATTTAAAATAAAAAATAAATAAATCATATTGCTCATTACATCTCCTACTACTTTAACAAAAAAGTTGTTTAATTACATAATGTGCCATTGTAAAGATATAAAATAAATAAATAGATAAATAAATAAACAAACATATATATATTTAGTGTAATGTTCAAAAATAATTTCGACCAAACCAAAAACAAAATTTCTACATTTAGTGAATAAATGTAGTTGTTTACATAAACATAAAATAAATTCAAATGATAATAATAAATAAGTAGATACTATTTTCAAAACACTTTGGCATCACATCCAAATAGTTGGAGTGTGACGGCACTGCGGGAACAGATCTTGCGTCAAATAAATTGATTGATTGCAGTTGGCTGAGGATTGATTGATCAATGGCTGAGGATGTTTTCTCCTCTGGGCAGAGCGGAGGCTGTATGATCCACCTGTCCTGACACACATGCATACATGCAAACCCATCAAAACTCATACAGCCCCATCCCACACTCCTGTCCCGCCAGTGAACAGGAAAAGCCATGGACTGAAACAAGAGCTCTGGCAAGAGGAGCTCACCTGCCATAGCAATAAAGCCTAGCTCTCTCTCTCTGTGGAATAACCATTCAGTGGCCTTTAATTAATGCAGTAATTGAAACAAATGAATGATACAAAATCGACTTGTTTTAGGGATAACTTGACACCTTCAATCCAGTGATAGTGACGCTAGCATGTTTTTTTAGGGGAAGCTGGTTGAGCTAAACTAGTTTTGCTAGAAGCTAATGAAGCGTTCTGGTTCCTTGGTGTAGTTGGGTTAAGGCACGAGTGTGTCAGGTTTTGATCTCGATTGAGACTACTAAAGATGATTTACCCATTCAGCGATGACTTAGATTGTAACTTCGGGCAGGATGTGGGGATACGCCACCTCCATGGTTACTGGATAGAGGGCGTCCTTTCTTCCGTCGGCATGAAACTAGAAAATGTGCTTTTTATTTGTGGTTGGATGGGGAGGTGGATTACACTTCTCTTGAGACGTTTGAGGGATTTTCTTTGGATATGAAAAGAGTCATGATGGAGATGACTGATGAGTATTTCTTTGCATTCTTCCTGTCAAAATTAGCTATGCTATTAATGAGAAGTGGCGGCTATCATGTTGTTCTTATCATGTAAATGTGTTACTCTTTAATGCAGTTTCATATTAAGTTTAATTAGACAGTTAAACAATGGAGAGATTGCTGACAGGTATTAGCCAATCAAGACTAGGCAAGCTATAATGCGAATCATCCCTATAGTTACTTTTAACAACTCTTTTTTTTCCCTCTTGAATAATCATGTCTATAAATCATACACCACCATTCAAAAATTTGGGGTCAATATGATTTAAAAAAAAAATAATTATTCATACTTTTATTCAGCAAGGATGGATTAAATTGATCAAAACTGACAGGAAAGACAGTTAAAATGTTACAAAAGATTTTATTTCAAATAAATGTTCATCTTTTGAACTTTCTATTCAAAGAACTCTAAAAAAAAAAAAAAAATAAATACATTAAAAAGTCATGTTTTCCACAAAAATATTAAGCTTTAAACAAACCTTTTTTCAACAATAATACGAAATGTTTCTTGAGCAGCAAATCAGCATATTAGAATGATTTCTGAAGGATCATGTGACACTAAAGACTGGTGTAATGATGCTGAAAACTCAGCTTTGCATCACAGGAATAAATACAATTTTAAAACACATTGAAATACAAAACTGTTTATTTGAGTTGTAGTAATATTTTGCAATATTACAATTTTTACTGTATTTGAATCAAATAAGTACAGCCTTGCTGAGCATAACAGACTTCTTTTTTTAAAAGAAACGTCTTACCGACTTCAAACTGCTGAACAGCAGTATTTATATTTTTTTAAAGGTAGTATATAAGTATATGCATTTTATCAGGCATTGAAATGTATATACTTAACATCATTGATCTGTTCTAAAACTGAGCTTTAGAAATGGAACCTAAATAAGTGTCAGTTGCAGTAAACGGCAAAGCTTTGAGGAAGGGCACTGAGACGATGAGACAGGAACAAGGAAGGGAGACTGTACATTAGAATCAGAGGCTTCACTGGTCTATAGCACAAAACTGGAGTGGACAGAAGGACAAAGGGCACATGGGAATAGAGCAGTGGGTCCACACTCATATTCTGTGAATAAAGTAAAATATTTCATTGTATACATTTTAAATCTGGAAAGTGTTGAGGAGAGGGGTCAAATCTGCAGTGATTAGTTGGACAGATCCAGCTTTTTCGGTGTACTAGCATGGTCCATGTGTTGTCTTAAAGAGATAGCTCACCCAAAAATGAACATTATGACTTTCTTTCTTCTGTGGAATGCCAAATGTTTGCTATTTGGTCACCAACATTCTTCAAAATATCTTCTTTTTTGTTCCACAGATGAAAGTCAGCCAGGTTTGCAACAACACATGAGGGTGAATAAATGACATTTTTGAACTGACCTCTTCCTTTAAGTCGTCAAAATCACTGACTGAAGAATATTTAGCTACCACTTCACTTATCTGACCTTTCCGCTCTAGTTTATATATGGTCTATTTCGTTCCAAAACATCTGTCAAGTCACAGACCCTCCCTGAGGGTTCAGGTCTGTGTGTGGAGTGAGAGAGAGAGAGAGAGAGAGCCGGGTTCTTTTACTCAAGCGCATATCGATCCGTGGAGCAGCAGCTCTGAGCTGATGGTAATAAAGAGGCCTGACTATCCACATTTTGCCCCCCCCCCTTGTCTTGAGAGATTCCTCGTTTCATGGCATGCATTTCATTTTCAGGAGTGTTTTCTCTGCGATGATGAGCTCCAAGCCTCGGCCGGAAGAGACAATCAATTTTGGTGTCCTATATTGTCTGAAGGTCATGGAGTGTTTGAAAGGATTTGGAGAATTTATCTCATTCTTGATCTCATACTGGCATATTATATTTCTGCAGACAACTCTAGTTGAAACAATATACACCCACAGATGTGAACTCCACTAATGGATGATTATTATATTCTTTAGAGGGACGCTCACCTAAAAATCATTTACTCACCCTCGTGTTGTTCCAAACCTGTATACATTTCTTCTGTAGCTGTTCTCTAAAAACCCCTTTTTATCATATTTAGTTTAAGAGAAAGAAGTTAGAAGAAAAAGTAATACAGGTTCAGAACAACTGGAGTAAATGATGACAGAACTTATACATTTGGTTGAACTATTTTTTAAGACTTTAAATGGACCATACTGTTAGTTTGGTTTCACTATGATGATGACGATAAGAAGGGCCAGGATTGGTCAGTACAGTTTGATAGACAGGAGAACAGCACAATGAAAGGACAGCTGCTGTCCTTTGGGCGGAGCTGTGGGGTTGTAAGTCTTACCTCACAGTCGGGCTCCTCTTTGGTCTTACACTCCCAGGTGTATCTGCTCATGGTTTTCTGAGGGGTGGGGGCATTGAGAGGATTATATACCTCATAAATATAATTTCCATTCAGAACGAGACAGAGATAGAGACTAAGACACAAAGAAAGAGACAGGGAAAGACAGACAGAAAGACAGGGAAAGGTCCCATTGTGTATAAGATCCTCCAGTGGTGAGACAAGAGACACTGAATGGACAAGTGTTCCCAACCTTAGTGCCACTTTTTTTTTTTTTTTTTTTTGCTTTACCCAAGAATCAACATTGTGGGACTATGTCTATGGCCCTTTAACGTCTTTAGGTTTTCAGCTCGGAATCCAAAAATATACATACACTTACTGTGTGCTAGATTTAAAGCGATAGATAACACACAAATGAAAATTCTGTCATTATTTGTTCAAATAATCCGTTTTATCATTTTAAATTTAAGTTTGATCTGTTCATCACAAAGATATCAAACATATGGTTTAAAAAGATCTGAAATTTAGCACACAAGACAGACTATTTTTAAGACAAAAAAATTATACAATGTGTATGTGTGTGTGTGTGTGTGTATGTTTTCATTTTTTGGCATAGAGATATATAATTTTTTTCAAAAATGTCTCCTTTTGTGTTTCATGGAATAAAACAACATATAGGTTTGGAAAAACATCATGGTGAGTAAATAATGACAGAATTTTATTTTTGGGGTGTACTATCCCTTTAAAAATATGACCTTGAGTTGCACTACTATATATATATAATTTAATATAATTATAATCAATATTCTCTTTAAAAAAAAATCCTGAGCTCAGGTACCAAAGACATTGAATTCATGTCCATTTTGCCCAAAGGTTTACCAAAAAAAAAAAGTACTAAAAAGTAGTTACTTTGATCTGACTGATGCATCCAGGCTGAAATTGATGGCAACTGTATGGATGGGTATATGCAATACAGATATTATACGTATTGAGAGTTTTTGAGACTGTTTTTATTAAACAATCCACCGTTGGGCTGTAGTAAACATAATGACCGAGGGTCTCAAAAATGCACATATCTTTTCTATTGCAAAAAAATACTGTATTTTCCATTGCTTTCCACTGCAATAATGTATTTTCCAAGACACATCAGATTTGAAAAGAGAAGAAAGCTGTGTTATGGTTATCCCACAGAAGAGAATGACGCCCGTGTTAGATCTACATCTACCCATGCGGCAGACATGTTAGCCAAGTGTTACGCCACCTATGGGCAGCAGTGAGACGTTGCATCTCAGATGTTTATCCTGCTTTTTTCGCTCAACACTTCATTGGTTGGTGAGATCTGGCCCACTCACCCTCTCATCTTTCTGAACCAGGATAAACGAGTGAAACGACAGACAGGTATATTAATGCGATGCAGTGGACAAGCAGCAGCAGATCACAGGACCACTAGGAGGCCCGTGTGAAGAGTCAGACATGCAGCGGTGCAGAGGAAGAGAGAAGGGGAGCGGGGTGAGGGGGAGGAGGGTGGCGTGGGTGGGCTCTCTCAGCGGAGTCCAAGGTCTGCAATCAGGGCACAATGCTGGAACCAGAGATGCTGCCATTAACTCACCCTTAAAAATCTGTCATTGTGTGATCGCTCATCATGTTTGCTGCAAACAGTGACTAAGATATCTGAGTAGGTTTCCTTCCCTTTCTAGACCTTAAAGTTACATTATGAATTATCTTTCCTTCAAGTCAGAAAACATCTAATCTTAACTCTCTTTATTCCAGTTGAACAAAAAGCAAAAACACAAAATCACAAAATACAATGCGACCACATACACCACCATTATTGATACACCTACTGAGAAACCTAAAAAATTTAATTAGAATTTACTTGTTAAAAACTTTATCTATTAAAAATGGATAAAAATAATGTATGTAGTCCTTTTTTATTTTTTTAACAAAATCATTTAACAAAAATTACTAAATTAAAATAAAATTATTTATTAATCACTGTAATTAATACATTTAATTTAATTCTATTTTTAATTTAATCAAATAAATGAAACTGAATAATAAATTACATTTTATTAAAACAATAACAATAAAATAATAATTAAATGTCCTGCTATCCTTATTTATTTTGTCTGTCGTTCTATTTTTTACTAAATCAATCAATAAAAATACTAAAAATTTAAATTATGTTTTAATCAAATTCATTATGTATTAATTGTAATTAATATTAATAATAAATTATTATTAATTTATATTATTTTAAAATATCTTTACTTAAATTCTAATTTATTTTTTAAAAATCAATCTATTACAAATTAATAAATAATAATAAAATATTATTAAATTACATTTCTGCTATCATATTTTATTTAAAAAATGTAATCAACACATAAAATAATAAATTAAAATAAATAAAAAGATTAATTACTATATTTCATAAAATAAAATGAATGCTAATTTTTCAAAAATTTAAAAGACATACATAATTATTCACACATAAATTAAGAAATATTATATTAATATTGTAATAATAAAATATTGCTTTAAAAAAAATCATCCACACCACCATTACAGATTTACTGACAAACAAATGCAATTCTGATTTATAAAAAAATAATCAATCAAATAAAATTACATAATTAATAATTAAATAAAAAATTTCTAAAATCATTTTATAGACTCAAACTCGCAACCTCTCACACATAAAACAAGAAATATTCCTCTCAACTGTAACTTCACGGATCGGACCTAGAAACCTAGAATCACCTATAGCCAAATTCCAAAAGGTGCAAATAAAATTATTCAACCCTCTCGCTTGCGTTTACATTTAATACAAATGGTCTGGGTGTGTATGTATATGTATGTGTCGGGGGAGAATGTGTCTTCCAGGTCTGCCTCTGTATTGATTCTTGCATGGGATCAATAGGGCCGCTTTCCCACGAGTCTCTCAAACCGCTGTTAAAGAGCGTGTCTACAGGCTAGACTATGTGCTCATCTAGAGACACGGCGGGGCAGATGGATGGCCTGTCGGAGAGAGGCTGACAGACTCGGGTCAGCCACAGCACCGAGCCCCACAATTAACGAAGCATCCAAAGCGGCGCTCGCAACAAAAAAAAAACGCCAGCTTTTTTCTCCGTTTCCCGGTTACCCTGTTGCTATGGTAACAACTGTTGCCTCAGTAACCACACTCCTATCTGAAAGCAGACCTCTTCAGCGGAGAAAACGCTCCCATCTCTCTGTGCACTGTGCACCCCCTCCCTTACCAAAGGTTACGCTCGGGGTCCATGCAGAGAGGGGACGGAGGGGGAGAGGAAAGAGAAAGACGAGAAACACGTTACCTGACAGATAATGTTATCATAGTAAGCCAAAGCACGGGCATGAGGGAGGTTAGGAGGGGTGTCGCAAAGTTTCCTTACATTTGGATGGGAGCCCTCAGCGATGGTGGACAACGAGAAATTATCATTGTGGTGCTCCGAGGAAGGACGGTACTTACTGCTGCGAGGTCGGGGAGAGGGGGAGGCGGGAAAAAAAGGGAAAAAGAAGAAGAGTGATGGAATGGAGGGAGCATTGTGGGAAAATGAGAGGTATAGAGAGAGACAAGGACACAATGGAAAATACAGGGGATCATGAATACAGAGGTTATGAAGGACAGAGGAGAGAAAGAGAATAAGAGAAGAGAACATTAGTGCAATTCTATAGGACTGCTTTGGAGGCAGAAGTTTAGACACACATTCAGTACACAACCTGTGATGCAACATACCACATGACAAATCACGCCTTTTTCTCAAATTCAACAAATATCAAAGTCTTTTCAAAATATTAGAAGTTCTAGACATTTCATCACCATTAAATGACCTCAAATGAATTAATAAATTAAGCTTCCTGCATGGGCTTATGTGTAGATCGCAGTTTCTTCCCATTTCCTTCTCGACTCTTCCTGTTCTCAAATAGGGGCTTTCGCACTGCGTAGTTCTAGGAACTAGCCAGCAGGGTTGTTCCTAGAGAACCATTCCCCCCCCCTCAGGCCGTTTTCCTGGTTGCATTCGCACCGGCAGCAGGAATTCTGAAGCGGCCAACAGCGACGTCTTTATTAGCGGCATTTACAAACGTCAACAACCGGTGAATGGAGGATACCGTGATCGGCGCTGTTTTTGTTGTGTGTCGTGGGTTTCGTGATAACGGAGATGGAATATAAACGCACAATTTACGTGATTGAAAGAGCATGAAAATCAGACTGAATCTCCTATGAAAACTTGTAGTGTTATCACTGAGGCTGCAAAAAGAACACAACGCTGCAAACAACAGGTATACTCTAAACCCGGATAAGTTGAGTTTACTTCAAAATTTTGAGGAAACTGGTTGCCCTAAAAAATTTAAGAAATGTTTACTTGATAAACTTGAGTGAAATTTACTTAAGCCATTTAAGTTTTGTTAACTTAATTGAATCTGTGATCTGAGGAACATTACTACTTAGAATTACTGACTCCCAGAGTGCATTGCGGCATGAATAAATTGTGCAATTTCTTTGTTTTACAGTAGTTGTTTTTATTTTCCAATTTTATTTGCTGTCTTGTGTCAGTAGTAGCACAACAAAAAGAGCAAATAAAATGTTTATTGTTACAATTAATCCAAATAAATGAAATTGAATTGTTACCATTGTTGTGATTCGTGTGCTGAATGTTGAAGTCTGTGTGTGACTTGAGCATATTACCACAAATATGAAAGTATTATATCAACCCAATAAAAAGCTTCTCAAGGTATTCATGAAAATCAATGAAATTGTAAAAGATTGTTAGTAATCACAAAACAATGCACTAATGATTTAATTTGAAGATAGATCACTTTTAAAAAGCAACCTATTTATTACTTTTCTTCCCTTGAAGTCAAATAACTCCAATTTCATGATGCATTGCTGCATGAACAGGAAGAAACCTATAATAATACAAACGAAGTTCCAAGTGCCCAAACAAAGAGAACGCTAATTCACTGTAATGGTGAGTAAAAAAAAAAAAAAAAAAACATTTTAGGAAAATCAACATCAATGTATAAAGCTAGCTTATGTGATGTTCTCTCAAATATTTCAGCTGTATTGAAAATTCAACATTCATGATGACTTTGGGAAACGAGTGAATGCAACTAGTGACAGATAGCTGCAGACATGGAGGAAATGAGTGAAAAGTCTATTAAGACTCCTGTGTGTGTATATATATATATATATATATATATAAAATAACCTGAATCATTGGCTGGCAGGGGGATAGATGGACAGGAAACTTCAGACAATATTACTATTATTAAAGGCTGCTAATTAATATGATGGCTCATATTATCAAGTTAAACAATTTCATCTGTTGTTTTAAAATAAATAGAAGATGTAAATAAATAAATAAATAATAATCAAATTAAAATAAAATAAATAGAATCAAATAAAAGATATTAGTATTTAGTATTGCTGTAACCTGAGTGTTTGCAATTGGAAAAAAAATGTTTAAAATAAGACCTATTACTTCCAATATTAGCAAATGTACATTTAGTCATTTAGCAAACGCTTTTATCCAAAGCGACTTACAAACGATGACAACAGAAGCAATCAAAAATGTTATGATAAAAAAAAAAAAAAGATTTCTGTTGCAGGGTGTTTTAAGGACTTACACTAATGTTCAATAGTTTGAGGTCAGTAACCTTTTTTTTTTTTTTTCTTTTTTGAACGAAAGTATTATTTTTATTTAGCAAGGAAAAATTCAATTGATCAAGAGAAAATACTTTTACATTGGTTAAAATAAAATTTCTACCAAGGGAAACGAGTGAATGCAACTAGTGACAGATAGCTGCAGACATGGAGGAAATGAGTGAAAAGTCTATTAAGACTCTTTTTCTTTTCTTCTTCTTCTGTTGTTATGTTGCACATTAGCAACATATTAGTGCACTGCTGCCTCTCACTGCTTTATTTATGTCATTGGTTCCTTTGTGGCTACTTGAATATTTTAAGCGTAAACTATTGGATTTTACAGTGTAGCCAAATGCCGTTATCGCAGTTTTCCATGTTTGTGTAGTAGCCTAAATATTTTTTCATGGCTTTTTAAAAATGCTGGGTAGCTGGTGTTTCGTATGTATTTGGCCAATCAGTGTACACTTACGTCACTGGTAGTTCCTACAAAACTGTTTTAGACTCTACTCTGAAGTAGGAGCTAATTTAGTTCCTCCAAACAGATTTCCTAGAACTAATTTTTTTTTTTTTTTTTTTGAACGAAAGTATTATTTTTATTTAGCAAGGACAAATTCAATTGATCAAGAGTAAATACTTTTACATTGGTTAAAATAGAATTTCTACCAAATCAGCATATTGGAATGATTTCTGAAGAATCATGAGCTTTCACATCACAGGAATAAATGACATTTTACAATGTATTAAAATAGTAAACAGTTATTTTAAATTGTAATAATCTTTCACAATCAAATTATTATTATTTTGTCAAGTGACTGCACCCTCGGAGAGAATTAGAGACATTAAAACATTAAAATAATCTTCCAGACCGCAAACTTTTAAATGCTATAGTGTAGGTCTCTGCATGGTTTTGGTGTTTTAGTGTTGAGTCGCCACATGATGTAAATTTGAGTCCTAAACTGAGAATTTATAGGATAAACATCCTCTTTCTTCTCTTTTTTTTGCCGTAATAAATCCCATCCCTTTCTATAGGATGTGAAGATTTGATCTTGTTTAGCGCTGAGTGAATTTGAGCACATTTACTGGTAGCAGATGGAGAGGTGGGCGTCTGATGTATTCACAACTAGTCTCATCTGTAGCATTGCTGCCTCTATTTCTCCTCTTCTCCATCACTCTCACCTCCAAACATGGCCACCCTCCTCTGCAGTTATAAAACTCAGTTTCTCCTCTTTTCCCTCATCATTTTCCTTCTGTTCTTTGAGGAGGGTGTGCGCTGTTTAATTCCTGGCTGTAGCTTCCACCCCCACACCCCCCTGGGTCTCACAGCTGTATGTAGGTCAGCCGGCCCCTCCTCCCCCATCGCACTGCCCTACTTTCAGCTGTAGCTTCCGTGACATCATGCAGTCTGCCCGCTGCTAGCGCAGCACGCTAAGCATTAGCGCACCATCCACTCACTGCATTATTTGGTCTCCGCAGCATTCAATTAGCAGCTGCGCTATCGTAACACTAACACTTTTCATGGAATTAAAAATGCTGCAGACATCACAAAAACATTTTCTGCATTATTTTGTTTCTCTCAGCTAAACTTTTATTTTGTTATTGCTTTACCCTGCTGTAAAATACAGCTTAAAGTTGGGTTGCTGGTCTCAGCTGATTTAAAGGTATAGTCATCTGTCATCATTTACTCACCTTCAAGTTGTTCCAAACCTGTGAATTTCTTTCTTTTGCTGAAAACAAAAGAAGATATTTTGAAGAGTTTCTGGTAGCCACTGACTTCCATAGTATCCCGCCCCCCATATTATAGAAGTCAATGGATACCAGCAACTTGTTTGGTTACCAACATTCCTCAAAATATCTTCTTTTGTGTTTAACAGAAAACTAAATTCTTACAGGTTTGGAACAACTTGAGGGTGAGTAAATGAAGACAGAAATGTCATTTTTGGGGTCTCTTAAAGCTGGTTTTCCTGCTTTCCAAGCTGGTTTAACCGTTTAACTTGCTGACAAGTCCCTAAAATCCATCTGAAACCAGCAAGCTAAACAGGTTTGACTAGGCAAGCAGGTTTATTTCCACCTCAAACAAACATTTAAATATCAAATAAGTATTTTAAAAAATGTTAAAGAAATGTCTATTCCGTATTGCAATCCTACAAATCAAAATTTTGGAATAATTAAGATTTTAAAATGATTTGAAATAAGCCTCTTATGCACTCCAAGGCTGCATTTATTAGATAAAAAAATACAATAAAAATAGTAATATTGTGAAAGATAATTACAATTTAAAGAAATGAAAGATTTTTTTTTTCCAAAAAAAGAAAAAAAAACTTTTATTCAGCAAGGATGCATTAAAATTGATTGAAAGTGACATTTTCGACAAAAAGATTTCTGTTTTAAATGCTGTTCGTTGATTTTCTATTCATCAAAGAATCCTGAAAAAAATATTAAATCAGCACAATCTCTATAAAAATATTAAGCACAGCTGTTTTCACCACTGATCCATTTATAACTATTACCGGTATTAGTAATTAATTAATTTATAACTAATAATATCTGATCATAATAATTGAATAATTAAGCACCAAACCAGCATATTAGAATGATTTCTGAAGGATCATGTGACACTAAAGACTGGACAGTAATGATGCTGAAAACTCAGCTTTGAAATCACAAGAATAAATTACATTTTAAAATATACGAATACAAAACACTTATTTTAAATTGCAATAATATTTCACAGTATTACCATTTTCAGTCTTGGTGAGCATAAAAGACTTTCAAAAACATGAAAAAAAAAATCATAATTATTTCAAACATTTGATGGTGTACAGGTACATGCCTGAAGAAGGTCATGAGAGTGAACTGTTGCTATTTAAATAGCTACACAAATATTTGGCAAGCTTCACTGTGTGCGATTTATTTGTTCCTAATTCTACCACACAACATGGGCTTTTAAAGCATTTAATCCATAAACCCTTCCACTTTGTCTTACTTTCTGTAAAAATCAGTACCACACAGGTCAGAGTCTCACCTGCGCTTGAGCAACTTGTTATTCTCAGTCTTGAGCACGTGCAGCTTCTTGGCAAAGCAAACGACGATCATGAAGAGCAGGAGCACCATGAGAGCGGAGGCCCCGATGGCGATGCACATTACCTGGAACTCCGTGATGACCGATTCACAGCGGGCACCCTTGTGCCACATGTAGTCCTGGATGTTGCACCTGCAAGACAGAGAAAGGGAAATACATGCAAGCCTTTTCCACCAAATTGATAATTCGCTTGTATTTCCAGAAACAGATTTTAATGCATTGGTCAGAAGTTAATTTAATATAAAATGAATGAGATTCATAGCAGTTATTTCAAATATGGTAATTGCAAATAAAATAATTGTAAAATGTATTGTGAACAAACAGCAACATCAACTGAATGCATGTGGTGTTTCCACTGTAAATCCAATGCATGAGCCTTTTCTTTTGAGCGATATTAATATGTTTTGCATCAGTCTTGGCAATATTAATTTGCTGTTCAGAAAACATCACTCTATGCTGACATTATCCCAGGTATTGGCCTCTGATGTTAGCAGTTCCTGGTTCAAGACCAGTAGGTTTTAGGGGCCAGTGCAGAGCCAATTTTTCCGCCTCTTCTCCAATGAAAACAACCTGGAGCAACATGGCTCTTACTGGGATTCGTTTAGCAGACAATACCACGCCAACACACACTCATTTTTGAAATGAGTTACACTTTAAACGCACCATATTAAGACACACAAGAGACACACTATTTTAATCCTTATTGGCTTCCCAAAAATGTGCTTTGATTCCCCATGTAGTCTCTGGTTCCATATGAATTATTCATGGGGGCTCAGTGCATCTTCTACACCAATTTTTACCATTCATTTTTGCAGACATAGGTGGATGACAAGTTCACTGCCTCTATCTTACCGTAAGTTTCTTCTACACTGCATTAGACTGGATTTAACAGCAGTTCTGAACTTGTCCCAGTAGTAGTAAAGTCAGTGAACTAACTTCAAAGACTGTCAGGATTTGCCATATTAAAACACAGTGGCATTTGCCTTGAAAATCCAGTAAGGCAATCCAGTGTCACAATATTATGTTTAAGTGTGTATGAAAATGCTGCTACCAAAAAAGGTTGCAGAATTCAGGGGTTTGCATCTGGCTTTTGTCAGGAATAGAAGCACATGGGGATCTGCATCCTCTCCATCAGCTTCCTAAACTATTCCTTATCCATTTTGTGCACATAACAGTAGGTTTGAGGACAGACCAGCAAACAACATCAAAGGTGCAGACTGAAAGATGAAATCTGATATATTAATAAATAAATATAATATTTTATAAATTATAAATTATATTAGAATAAAACATGTATTATGTATATATAAATTGAAGTTTTTATTTAAAATAATTTAAAATAAATTTTTTAAAATAATATTTTAGATTAGAAAATGTATATATAATTTAATATATATATTAAATTATAGAATATTTTAATTACATTATAATTTAAAATACAATACAATACAATTTATAAATTATATATTAAAAATCTGATTGGTTCATGCCATTTTTGATGTTTCTCCAAGAACATGTCCTACTTGGGCAAATCACATTAAGCGTGAAATGCACCTTGTGCAAGTAGTAAAGAGCTTCAATCCAAGGTCATCATGCAGATAATTGTGGGAAAGACAGCTACAAATAGCCGGAGAAGGCAAGAACCCTATTGAAGAAAAACAGATGTATAATACACCACACCACAAATCTGATGATAACCGAAACATTTGCAAGCAATCAAACACATATGATCTGCAAAGACTGCAACCCTGGGCCCTTCTCTCTCCCTCAACCACATCCACATATGCACACACTCAAATGTAAATGTCTATAATGAAAGGAAGTCGTCTTCATTCACAGTCTTGGTGGTCACGGGAGGGGGGTCTGAGGTTTCACTCCTTTTCACTACAGCATCCTGTATGCCCCTTTGTGCCTGCGCCAACCCCGAGTGAGACGAAGGAGAACAGGGTTGGCACGGTGCCACAGAGGGCATTCAATCCCAGGAGGGAGAGCGAGGTGACGGGCGTGTTGATGTGAGCATGCATTTAAATGCATCCTTACAGTGGGCTGTATAAAGCAGCCTGTCTATTCAGCCCCTCAGCTGTTTCTCATCCACCCTCCCAGATCTCAACACTCTCTTAATCGTGTTTGTTTCTTCAGCAAAACTTTGCATGCTATCTAAATTACATTCTACACCCATTCTCTTGCCCGTTTTCCAACCCAACCCACTTTTCAGGGCTTTTAGTCAAGATCTTTCTTTCTTGCATTCTTTTGTTCCAGTCTCTCTCTCTCTCTCTCTCTCTCATGTTTATAGCTGCAAAAAAGTAAAAGCTAAATTCTATAAAGTATAAAGAACATCTGATATAACTGCAACTGACAGGCTAAGTGAGTTTGTGTGATTTCAGAAACACAGACCAGATTACAAAACACAAGCCACCAGGCTACTTAACTAGGTTAAAGGTATAGTTCACCCAAAAATGAAAATTGTCATAATTTATGCACTCTAATGTTGTGACTTACTTTCTTCTGTGGAGCACAAAAGAAGATGTTTTGAAAAACACCTCTTCCTTTTCATCCATACAATGAAAGTCAAGAGGCTCTAACGTTGTTTGGACAGAAGAAAGTCATTCAGGTTTGGAACAACATGAGAGAGAGAGAGTACAATGAGGGGAGAAAAAATGGGTGTAGAAACAATTTTCACTCAGAAATTGCTCACTCAGATATTTTTTACAAATAATGACAAAGAAACAGCAAGTAACACATCAAATTAAACATGAAATTTTGAAGTAGAAATACTTAAATAGTAATTTCTTGTAAAACAGACTCCAATAATCTGTTTTATTTATATCTTAGAAAAATGATACATTTTCGTACACTTAACATTGTGTGAATTCATATGAAATCGCCATTTTAAAAATGTTATTTTAAATTATGTTTTTGGTTAAGAAATACAATTCACTCTTGATTTCAAATTTTACACAGATAACACCTGATAATATGGAAGCCCGTTTCTGCCACTGAATAAAATATTTACAAAAAGGTAACTGCAACTTTTTATCTCACCATTCTGACTTTTTTTTCTCGCAATTGCGAGTTTCCATTTTGCAATTCTAAATTTCTTTGTCAGAACCGTGAGATATAAACTTGAAATTGCATGATATAAAGTCACAATTGCGTGTTATAAGGTCAGAATTTCAAGATATAAACTCGCAATTGTAAGAAAATAGTCACTCTTTTTCCCTCAGAATTGGACTCACAATTTCCCTCACAATTGTGAGTTTATATCTCACAGTTCTGAAAAAAAGAAGTTAAAATTGTGAGATGTAAACTTGCAATTGTGAGAAAAGTTACAATTGCGAGAAAAAGTCAGAATTGCAAGATATAAACTGGCAATTGCAAGAAAGAAGTCTTTATTTCTCGCAATTGCAAGTTTAGATCTCACAATTCTGAGAAAAAATTCAGAATTGCAAGACGTAAACTTGCAATTGCGAAGAAAAAAGTCAGAATTGTAAGATAAAAAGTCGCAATTGCCATCTTTTATTTTTTATTCAGTGGTGGAAATGGGCTTGAATATATCAAATTAGTAACTATTAATAACAAATTACACAGCTACATACAACCTTAACCGGTTGCATACAGTGCATTAATGTTAAGCAGAATGTATTATATAGCAAACTGTAGGGCTGCTCCCTAATAGTCGACTAATCGTTAGTCGACCAGAAAAGACTTGGTCGACCAAAATTTTATTAGTCGCTTAGTCGCAGAAAAACATAAAAAAAAACACTCCACAGGCGAAGTCACCCAGTCCGTGACTAACAGATCGTTATGGTAACGGCTAGTCTATGGTAATACAGGACATCCAAACGCTCGCCTATCATTCATCGACCTCTCAAATATGGCTTATCATCTGAAATATGTAAGTATTAGCAACTTCACATGTCCGCTCAATCTAATGTTAACCTAGAGAAATGTGCGCTGTTTAAGTGTGTGTGAGGAGAGTGGAAGCTGAACAGCGCTCACTGCAGATGGAGGCGCCGGCGCGTTCACTTGCTCCTCAAATACTGGTCATTTTTGGTCATACAGCTCTCAAATATGGCTTATCATCTGAAATATGTAAGTATTAGCAACTTCACATGTCCGCTCAATCTAATGTTAACCTAGAGAAATGTGCGCTGTTTAAGTGTGTGTGAGGAGAGTGGAAGCTGAACAGCGCTCACTGCAGATGGAGGCGCCGGCGCGTTCACTTGCTCCTCAAATACTGGTCATTTTTGGTCATACAGATAATAGTAATACATCTTTCGAATCTGTAAAGATTCTACGTTTATTTGTGTGGCAAGCTTTATGCGTGTGCTTGAGCGCTTATTAGGCTATGTATGCAATTAAAGGCGCATTATCATGATTTAAATGGTTTATTAATAAACGTGCGATTAGTCGACTAATGCTTCAAATGAACGACTACTAGTCGACCAGCAAAATCCTTAGTCGAGGACAGCCCTAGCAAATTGTTATACTATCGTTGTACTATCAAAAACGTAAACTACATTACTGCTCAGGGATATATTAAAAGCTGGATATAGGACATCCTATTTACCTGTATACATACAGTACACCAACGTAAAGTGGAACATACTCGAATTTATGCTTACATTTTCTATGAAAAGGAACTATATTATCTGTCATCTCTTAATCTTAAAGGAACACTCCACTATTTTTGAAAATAGGCTAATTTTCCAACTCCCCTAGAGTTAAACAGTTGAGTTTGCTGAATGGATTCGAAAACGGTAAAACTCAACTGTTTAACTCTAGTGGAGTTGGAAAATGAGCCTATTTTCAAAAATAGTGGAGTGTTCCTTTAAGGTACAATTTCGAAAAATAATTTTACAAGGTAAAAGATGAAAAATTTTTATAAAATTTTGTTTCACTCTGAAAGAGCATTGTTTAGCAGCACGACTATGCCGGTGCACCTGGAAATGTTGGTCTAAACTAGATGAGAGTTGAATTTGTGCCGTTAATCTCTGTATAAATATGGGCATTTTATGAAGCTGCCGTGTGGACAGATGGTCCGGCTAAGACTGTGTTTGTGTGTACGTGTGTGTGTATTGCATGCAGTGCTGAGATGGATGGATGCCAAACAGCCCCAGCTGAGCAGTAGC